TCATTCATAACCAAATGTCTGGCCAGCGTACCAACCACTAAAACACAGTTTTGGTTATAAAAATAATTCCTGGTCATCATTTTCTGTTGCAGGTTTAGACACAAGACCGCGATCGGTACGTGAATGCTGAAAGGATTCCAAAAAGAGAGGCTCTTACAGAGAATCGATTGCAGAGTGTGCGCTCCACAGTGCAGTCTACTTTGGCTATCTTCACATCTGTTAGCCCAGGAAACTCTTTCTTCGATAGATCTTCCCAAGTCGGAGCAAGATTCTTACAGTGACCACACCTAAGAACATAAACAGATTGCAACCTTCAATGGCACGCACTAGGATGGAAGCCTTTGTGAGCGTTTTGCTCTGGTGTCCTTCAGAAGACTGGATGCCCTCCTCTCTTAGCCACTGAGGAAATGTCTGAGACGATCAGAAAGGCAGATAATGAAATGAATTCTTCCTGTCCGTCTGGCCTGGCATGAAGCTCGGTCAGCACTAAGGCGCATGCTCAACTGATAGGCCAGCGAAGACAGATTTCCCTTGCTTGAAACAGCTCTGTGCTGTGTCCAACAGGAAGGCGGTATCATTAAGGATCTGTTGTAAACAGATTTAGACATGAAATTCCAGGCACTCTTTTTTCATAACAGCACTACAGTAAAAATCAACACTGTAATTTAAGCAACAGAGATGCACAGGGGTAAGGTACAACTGTTATACACGCAACATTACATCTAAAATTAGAAAAGCAATCTTTTCAATACTATTAATTCAGTCACTTTTCCATACAATAAACTGTACTACTAAAGACAAGTCTGCCAAATCTACGATCTGACTCAATCTACAATCACTGAATATTGTTTCCCATGTAAATGAGGACGATTCACTTACCATGGGGCATAAAACTTGACAAACGTAAGACCTTTAGAGACTGTGTCATCAAAATTACTTTCCGTGAGGGTCAATACACTCGACTGCAAAAAAACAAAAACAGACATCAGATTTTTGAGGAGTTCAAAAGAAAACTGCATCTGGAAATAGAAGGCTAAACTTTTCTTAAGAAGAAAACACATCATTGGCCCAGAATAACTTGTGTTAACACTGAGTGAACTTAATTCCATCTTGATAAAGGAGGTACAGAGGAAATTTGCTAGGGTTTGCCAGGGTGAGTTGCTAATCACTAAGTTAGAAGCACAAAACCCTTTTAGGCTAAGGGGTTAAGTTTTAAGAGATGATGTAACCTTCAGCTCAGTCTTGCAAAGATTTCGATTTTAAACGAATTTGCATCAGCAGGAGGAAATAGCTAGCTTAGCCATAATTGCTACTTGACCGTCCTGCTGAGCAAAACTGATTGTCGTGCAAAGCCTGTACATGGGCTAAATGCAGGCAATAGCCTCACTGGTAAAGCATCTGCCTTAAAACCTATATGCTCATTAAATCTAGAAACCTATGCAAAAACATGAGCAACCCACAGATTAAATATGCCACTAACAGAAAACAATGCTGTTAAGGTAGAACTGTCAATATCTTTTTTTAAATGTTGCCTATGACCAAAAGTTGCTCAATGGAGAAGAACACTGGCATGACAGCATGCGACACATGTGAGCTTTGCCTTTCACGGCCATCAGCTACAGATCAGATGTCCACAATCCCAGTGTCCATCTAGTCGAAGAAATGAAATTCAGTTCAGCCAAAACGATCCTGTGGCTGAGGCGGGGATGTACATTCCCACACTACTTAGACATTTTCTGCGCTCAGTGCTGGATTGTGGGGCTCAAGTGAACTTTAAGATGAGTGCTAATTTGCTTTCAATTTTTTTTCCCCCAGAGACTTTTGGCTGCTTATACTGTATAGACTGCACTGTTCAGTAATTGTATTACAAAACTCAGTCAGATCAAAAGTGGTAAGAAAAACTGTTCTTCTGTGTAAACTCTCTTAATTTGGTCATTTAAAGTGCAACCAGAAGTATAATTGCAGTCAACATCTAATGGTTCTTGGAACCCTAACCCTACTATGGCCTAAAATACAGGATCATTTAAAGACCATTGAACAGCGTTACTGAGGTGACTGAAAATTTGCCAAAAGAAAAGACACTGCTGAAGAAGATAAATCTCAATGAGCTGCTGTCAATGGTTTTGATTACTTCAGACCCATATTGTTTGGCTTGAGGAACATTTACAAATCTGACGATCAGAGGGTTTCAGAGACAGATGACACATGTGGCATGTTCACCCGTCCCAGAATGCTGTGGATACAGACACAAGCTTTCCAGCTCAGTACCTCCTCCTCAGCTGGCTCCTCAGCCTGCTGCACAGGCTCGTTCGGCTGCAAGTCTTCCGGAGCTTCTGCAGCAGCTTTGAGTTGACTGTCCACAAATTCCTTCAAGGAGTCGAGATCCCTCTTCCCTCTGTACTGATCTGCCTGGATGACATCAGCACAGCACACCACCAGGCATTAAACCTATCTCCAGAAAGAGGGAGATTTTCCTTTCTGGCTTGCTTGCAAACATGTATCACGCAGGATTCATTTCTGTGCATCGCATGTTAAATAGCTACACGAAATATCCCTTCTGAGAGCCTTTTTTCTTTTGCCGAGCTGGAAGGACAATGAGATGTTAAGCAAGGAGGAGGAGCAGGAGAGACGTGATCATTAATTTCCAACCAGCTAAAGGAGGCTGCAGATCTATAACAATACACCAAAGAAATCAGTATCATCTTAGGGCTGGTGCACACAGGACTGAACCAGATACCATTACGGCACACAGAACTAACAGGAATACAGTACTTTCAGATTTAAGAAAATCTTCTGGTTTGTAGCATTATACCATTTAGTGCTCTTTCACAAATAAGAAAGAAACTCAATTTCAGTCTCTCGCTCCTTTTCTAACCCATTGCAAGGCTTACCCATAGAGCGCCGAGGGCAGCTCGACAGATTAAAGAGATACCATAATAACTCATCGCTCCTGTAGCGTCCCCTGTTCAAAAGGGTCCCTGGCCGTCGAAACCCCCCAAGTCAATTTCTAAACACACATACCTTCTCTCCGTCTTTAAACCAGAGCAGAGTGGGATATCCACGCACTTGATTTTGAGAGCAAATCTCATAGTGCTGGGTGCAGTCCACCTGGAAGACAAGAAGAGCTTGGTTACAGCGGATCCCGTCGGTGAAGAGGCTGGTCCGCAGGCAGCAAGGCGAACCTCCCTCCCTCTCTCTCTCACACACACGAGCAGGTCCGCCGACCCAGCCCACCTTGGCGATCTTGACGCTGTCCGAGTGCTCGAACACGGAGGCCAGCTGCTCCCAGGTGGGCGCCAGCGCCTTGCAGTGACCGCACCAGGGAGCGAAGAACTTCACGAAGTGATACCCTAAGGAGGAGAGAAGGGCAACAGCTTAACTGGCTGCTGAGGCACAAAACGGCCCAGTTGTTCCACGAAAGAGACCCCCCAGCCCCCCAGCGAAAACCGGAGCGCAGGGAGCAGTACCTGCAAGAGCGCCCGCCGGGCCGAGCCGTTTGCCCCGCCAGCGACCTCAGCGGAGACCCGGCGCTGAGCGAACAAGCCACACCTCTCCCCCCAAACCTCACAGAGACGTCCCAGGGGCCCAGATGTCCCAGGCCGGCAAACGCCAACCCC